CTTAAGAACAATGAACAGTATAATACAGAGATTATAAAATTATATCAGTTAACAATTTACTGGGATGTAATCATTGTTATTTCATAGTTAAGGAGTCAGAAAAACCAATGTATTGGATGTAATGACAGTCCCCAAGCTCCAATTTTTATTAATTTTACTTTTATTATCCCTAATTCTCATGTTGAAAATTTAAAACATAAGGCATTATGCTAATGTGATGGTGTTTCTTTTATTTCTCCTAATGTGAGGCTAATCGCTTTCCTGCTCCTTAATACCTTCTCTCCCTGGTAAGGTTATATGTCCATCTTTTTCATTCTAATTAAAGTTTCCTGTGTTTGTAGGAAGGCAAGAATGATACAGACTCAGTCTAACTGTCAACTTTTATTTTGGAGACAATATACTTGAGAGCTAGAATTTTCAAATGAGTACTGTGCACCTGTTTTAAATACAAGCCAGGTTCAGAGAACTCTGCCTAAAGAATCTAGAAAAAGGACCAATATGGGCTTCCTTGTCCTAAAAAGGTCCTTCTATTGAAGTAGAACAGAAAAAATAAGATAGAAAAAAATGTATCTGAAAGAAGCAGGCTAAACCTGGTGCGGTGGTGCACACCTTTAATCACAGTACTTGGAGGACGGAGGCAGGCAGACGTGAGTTTAAAACCAACCTGGTCTACCCAGTGAGTTCCAGGACAACTGGGGCTACAGGGAGACGCTCTCATTCTCACAAAAAATAAAAAGCAAAAAAGCAAACTTAAGAAAATGGCTCATGAAAAATCCAGCGGTGCTGTGAGAATCTCAGGTACTCAAGAGGATGGTTGGTGATGCCCAGGTGCAGCCAGGGTGAGTTGAAGTAAAGAGGGACTGAGGAGTCTTTGGTAAAACTGCTAAACAAGCATATTTAAGTTGCTTCTCTATAAAATATTATTGGAAGAAACAAAAGCCAGGGAAAGTAGAGTACTCTGTAAAGAAAGTAACAGATTTGACATATTTATTGCTTTCTATTGAAATTCAGCACACGTCTAAGAATTACTTGTCACACTGCAATCTGTATGTCAACATATATGCTATGAGATTTGTTTCCATCATAAAACTACAGTGAAAACTTTATGAGAGTTAACACACAATTTTAAGGTTCTTGCCATAATAAAGATAAGTTATTTAGAAGTATTCCTTTGAATATTAAAATAATTAGCAAATTAGTGGATGGGAAAGTAATTATATATTTTTATATATATTGTCTACATATGTTTGCATATGTGTGCACATGTGTGCATGTGTGCATGTTAGTGTGCATGTGACATGAATGTAGTGTGTTCAAGTGTGCATGTGTATGTGTATGTGTGTGTATGCTCATGTGTGTGAAGGTGCATGTTTGTGTGTGTGCATACATGTGTGTATGCATATTCATGTACATGTGGTAGGTGTGTGTTCATGTGTGCATGTGTGTACAGGTGCATATTTGCATGCACATGTTTATACATGTAAGTGTGCATGTGTGTGCAAGTACATACTTGTGTGCACATGTTTATGCATGTGAATGTGCATGCGTGTGAGCATGTGAATGGAAGCCAGAAGACAATCTGGGGTGTTGGTCCTCAGGCTTCACCCACCACTTTTTGAGACTGGGTCTCTCATTGGCCTGAAAATTGTCAAGAAGGCTAGGCTGGCTGGCTAGTGAGCCCCAGGGATCTACCTGTCTCTACCTCACCAGTGCTGGAATTAAGCTCCCACAATGTCTGGCCTTTTTAGGTTAGTCCTCAGGATTAAGCTCACATCCCCATGCTTACAAGGCAAGTACTTTACCAACTGAGCCATCTCTCTGGCACCCTATATTTTGATTTTTAAAACTGTATTTGTCATGAAAATATTCCAATTAAGTAGTCAGTAAACTACCCTGCATTGTCATCTGGATCACAGCAATCACTAGGAAAATCTGACAGTGTTTCTCTGAATTCAAAGACAATTTTAAGTTAAACCTGAGTTATTGATGATAATTTCATAAGGCTTTTTGATTTGTGAAGGTGTTTTTTTGTATTTTATATAGACCCAGATTAAAAGGTTCTCCCCAGAGAGAAGAGTAATGTTGATTACAGAGATAGACTAACACATCATTTTTCAATCAGGATAGTAATATTAATATTAAATAATTTATAAATAATTTAGTATTTCTAAGTGAAAGAATCTACAGATCTGGGAAGTAGTGAGTTCTCACTGGAAATATAATGAACTCTGACATTTTCCAGTAAATCCTGGAATTTTTTTAATATGCTAAAATACTGCCAAGATGCTTCTCCATGTAAATCATCTTGTGCTTGTGTCTGATCTCCATGGTTTAATAAGTTAGTTCAACTGCTTGATCTCTCTCTCTCTCTCTCTCTCTCTCTCTCTCTCTCTCTCTCTCTCTCTCATCTTTGATTATGGTAGGCAGCCCTATTCACAACATGACAGTAATTTCATTTAGAGATAAATGAAACAATTCCACACAAAATCCACAGAGCACATCAGTCCATTGTTCAAGAGGCATCTCTATGATTTGGTTGATTTTTTTATGTCATCAAAACTTAAAAGTTAAGCTAGAATTTTAATTATAGGTAAAAATAAGCTAGGAACTAAAACCCAGAGGGAAACAGTTCAGTATTTTTTTTCTAAGTCATTTCATCTGAAATTATTTGCCCATAAAATAAAGCTCTTCTCACTGTTTTATGACGCTCTTTATTTTTAGATCCTCTTGCAGGCTCAGAACCTCCAAATCCTTAAAGTTAACTTAGATTTAAAATATTTTAGTTTATTCTAATTGCATTTGCTTGTAAATTTCAACTGCCAAAACATGAGAAGGGCTATTCTGACAAGTGGAGAGCTAAATTATATCTCAGAGAACAGACCTGCTCAATGGAAACCAAGTGACCTGTAATGGCAGCATCACTCAGAGATGAGGAGCCCTGGGTCATTGTGTCTCTGTCAGTTCCTGTGTTACAGAGATGTGGCTGGGCAGTTCCACTCTGAGCAGCAAGGGATCTGCTCCTCTGTCTGTGGAAGTATATTGTACCCTCAAGGCCAAAGCACAAAGAGAAATTCCTACTTGTGAGCGATCAGTGCACTGGCATTTGAACGCGTATTATAATTTTGTTCACCTCCACACTGGTTGTAAGTGATCTCTAAATTAAAAATACCTGATGTAAAGCAAAGCAAAATTCCTACGTAGTAGTGTATGAAATCTGACTATGGACAAAGAAATATGAAGCAGGTGGTTGTTTCAAGTGGATTATGGACAAGAGGGTTAACTCAGGTTCTAGACCAGTGCTATCCAGCATAAACGATAGCAATCACACATGTAAAGCCTGCATGAAATTTAAAATTACTATTATTCACATTAAAAATAGTAGAAAGAAATTGGTAAGTCCAATTTTAACAATAATATCTTAGCTAAATATATTTAAAATGCTGTCACTTAACACATAATCAGTATAAGGCCATTACTGAGATATTTGCTATGTTTTTTGTATCTTTAAATGGTGGTATGCATGCTATACATACCGCACTGTCAATTCACATTATAATTTCAAAAGCTGAATAGAAGCAGGTATCTACAAGTCCTTTATTAGACAGCGAAGAGCTAGAAGATTACTATGAGCCTCAGCAAGTATCTTCTTAAGGTTCAAGAGAAGGGATAAATGCCCATTTAATATCAACTTCTTACTGAGTCCAGCTTTTTTGAATTACTGTCATTCTCTTTGTATTGAGATAAAATGATAATCATTCTTACATAATAAAAGGGTTACCTAATAGGACTTCTCAATCAAATAAAATAGTTAATAGAACTAATGTGTTACAATTCTCTTTGCCAGTTTACAAAACTCACATCTAATAATTCTGAATTAACACTACACTGTCATTGTTAAAGTTGTAAGTTAGTGTGACTTTAATTGTCACTGGTGTTCATTAGCAAGGTATGTTTTGAATTCATGAAGGTATATTCTAATAACATGTAAACTTTTTATTTTTTACACATTGTAAGTTCAAATGTGCACTTTTACTAGAGACTAAATTTTGGTCATTTAAGAAACTTATCTGCTTGCTTAGCAATTCCAATCCATACATAGTTCTCTAAGAAACTTTTTGAGAAAGTGATTACCTATTTCTCTGTAGTGAGCATTTCCATGTGTACATGTGCCGGTGGAAGGTGGAGGTCAATGTCAGGAGTCGTCATAAATCACTTCCACCTTTGTTTTTGAGAAAGGGCCTTTCACTAAACCCACTCACTGATTGGCTAAGCTGACTGACCAGGGAGTTCCAAAGATTCACCAGCACTGAGGTTACAGATGTGTGCCACTGTAGCTGGATCTAAATTCAAGTTCTCAGGCTTTACCCACTTATCCATCTCCCCAGCCCCAATTTCTGTGTCACATTTTAACAGTTGGAGCTCAAGTAAATGAAGCCTATTTTACACTCACCTGGTCTCTGGCAATTTGAATGATAATTATTATTTCTAAGTGTGGAAGTTCGTGCTTTAAGGAGGATATGCAATAATGGTCTAAAATTAGATGTAGTGTCAAGAGTAATTCAAGTCATTGAAGGCATAGACAGAAGTTTAGGATGTCAGTGAGGAGAGAAATCAAGCCTGAACACTGTGGAGCATAAAATAGCTTTAAAAAGAAGAAAAAAGAATTACTTGCAAATAGTGACTTCTTTTGCTAATTATAGATGTATTTCTATTTATGGTTTGATGACCTCCATTATTTATGAAAATAGCATTTATGTTTTGGTTTACAGGCAAGAAAGTAACTTAGGAAGGAAAGGCCTCTTGGAAAATTAATTAAAAGAAGTCAAAGTGGTAGGCAGACTGCAGAGCTGGTCAGGTTACAGAAATTATCCCCCTTTCATGACAAGTACACCACTTACCCAACTTTTTGCTTCTATCTTTACTCTCCTGGCAAAATCATTACGTGTTTAAAGGGAGAGAAAACAAAACAGGTGAAGCTGCAGCCAAAGGTACAAGGATACAGTCCCTTCCGGGAAAGAGGATTTTGTGGCGAACCATTTCTCCCATAATGCATCCCACAGACCATATATCCACTAGAACAGGAGAGAGAGGGAAGTGAAAACAAAGGAGGAAAGTCAAGTTAACTAAGATAACTGACCTCTGAAGGAGGAGGACAAAGAACAATACAATCAGAAGGTATGACATCACCTCCCACCAGTGGGCAAAGGGAATAAAATCTACACTCTATGAGCATGCAGCCTCTAAAAGGACAGTTTAAGTTGACGTGTAAGAAACAGTACTTTATGATGTCTAACTTGGCATCTTTACAGCCACAACTTGCTGACTTCATTGACGTGAAAAAGCATTTGCTTAGCCAATAGTATCTTCACAGCTGGTCTCAGCTGAAGACCGCTGAGATGTCTTAGGTAGCAGTTTGTCAGATTCATCAACCCATAGGGGTGACTGTTTTACCTCCTGTTTCATTCAGTGGTGTGCATTAAGGCAACAAGAGAAGACACCATTGTCCAAAATAAGAATACATGTGATCACGTCTAAGAATCTAGGAAATGGTTGGAACTTTGAAGGCAAGGAACTAGAATTCTTTGTATTAGAGACTTGATTTTCATTCAGAAATTATCCCTTAAAATAATCATCAGCTTTCTTTTCTATTTGGAATATGTTAATAAAACAATATATGATAAATCAGAGCATGTATAAAAGAGTCCTTTAGAAGCAAAGTGCAGAAAAGCATCAAAGGTGTTAAAATTTAAGCACATGTATTTATTTCCTAATTGTCAGACTTGTTAACCAACACATTTTCACTTTTTCTAATCATCTTTAACCCTCTTCACATTTCCCACGTGTTAATTACAAGGGGACCTCTGGACCAAAAACATTAGGCTGAGTTGCTCTGTGGGAAGGAAGGGAAGGTGAGGTACACAGACAGCTGGGCATGCCTGAGGAGGGAGCAAGCAGGGTTTCTGCATGATAACCTTCCTCTGCTCAGAGGGGAGACAGTACCAGGGTTCTAGGCACACCTTCTCCTGACAGAAGCCAATAAACTAAGGTAGTCATTTACAACCTTTTCAAGTAAAGGGAAGGAAAGGCGGTTTGAATACTTACTGTCTGCATGAAAGATCTGAAAAGCCAGAATAGGTAAATTCAGACTCGCAGGCTCTGAACACCCTTAACTCTTTTATTTTCTGTGACACATATACTTATGGCTATTTGATATATGCATACAATGTGTAATGATCAAATCAGGGTAATGAACATATCCTAAACCTCAAACATTCATCAGTTATTGGGTTGGGATCAAATCTTTTCTTTGAAACACATAATATTTTAATGCTGGTCTTTGATTCTTGATTTTAATTGATCCTCCTTGGTTTCTACTTGGGAAGAGAGCTACTTTTACCTTTTATAAGTCAAACGACTTATAAACAACTTTGACAGTGAAGCACCCAACAGAATCTGACCTTCTTTGGAGCTACCTTCCCCTTCTGCCCTTCCTATGTACAAAGGACTAAGTATCCCTGCTGTCTTCTAGTCTGGAAGTACACAAAGAACTGCTTTTATCTTCAGTGCCAGGCATTCTTATAAGTGTGCCCTGCAGGATCTCTACTTAAAAACACCACGAGAAATGTTTTAATAAAACATATGAAAAAGATTGCTAGGAATAAAATATATACAATATAAACAGATATGAAAGGCACATTGAGTACATATATACAATTCTAACTTAAAGCTATTTTAATTTCTAAGTATGTTAGGTAGTTTTTAGACAAAATAATATACCACAATGCCTTTTAAGAAGATCTTATAATCCTCTATTTTAATCAAAACTCAATTAGACTTTCAAGTATTTTTTTCTATCTCCTTCTTTTAAAATGGTCACGTATACTAAATGTTCTTTATAAAAACAAGAATGCAAAAATGATTTTCCTTTATATTATCTCTAGAATTTATTAAGATTTACTACACAACTGCTACCCTAAATATTTCTTAGAGCATTTTAATATATTAAAGAAACGTATCCAATTTGAATAATTTGAACAATTTGAATTTGACTATTCATTTAGTGTTATTCCAAGGATCTGGTATCACTTTGTTAGTGTCTACCTAGACTGTATCCAGTAATCTTAGATCTTATATAAAAGATGTTAAAATAAAGTATGTTTCTCATTTCCACACTTTTCAGAGTTGCACTGCAACTCCAACAGCAATTTTTCTCCCTATCTGTGGCACATGTGCTAATCAGTAGCCACTTGACTGTTTAATCACACTCTATTTACAGTTCTTTTCAGCTATAACATTTTAGTGCTCCGCTGGCAAAGCTTGCTTCTCAGAAACATCCTCACATTCTTAATGAGTGATCCTTCCTAGTGGTATTTAAAAAACACACTCAGCACATGAAAGCTGGAAGCTCCATTTTCTGAAAAGTTCATCTACATTAAAATGAATATCCTTCTAGGTTATCTAAAGCATAAACCCAACTTCCTTATTCCAGAATCTTCCCTACCGTTCTCCTTGTAGCCCATTCCCAGGATGACCTCGGGGGCTCTGTAATATCGTGTCACCACATACGGAGTCATCATGAAGCTTGTGCCTGCTGTCCTGGCCAGTCCAAAGTCAAGGATTTTCAATGTGCAATCAGACTTGACTACAATATTACTTGGTTTTAAATCCTGGCAATCCGAATAGGGAAAAAAGTCAAAGTCAGTGTCTATTGGAACTTGTAATTTCCCTCTAACACAATCAACAGGCTAGCTGTACAGCAGCCAGCACTGATGGGACCTGTTTGCCTTCAGGGCTCTACACAAAGCACAGAATTACTGTGAGAAACTTTACAGTTAGTTTTGGATTTCTAAAATATCCTTATAAAGTGTTTTAAATCTGGAAGAAAACTGTACTGTTACTTATACAATTTAGGCTCATGTTCAGAAGAAATTTTGGGGAAAAGAACCTAATGTATCTATTGTCATCTCGTAGATTTCTCTTAGGGCAACAAAAACCTTCTAGTGTATAGTCATTCCTAGGCCTGACAGTACAGCAGATCGGGGTAGCTGTCTTCATGATATCAGCAAGGACTATAGAAATGAGCTGCCTAATTTCAGTTGTTCATCTGACTTCTGACAGTCAAGGAGCTATGAAATTAAGGCACTTCAGAAGCTAACACGCGACAAGCCAAAACATAACTTCGAAGTGTACCAGAACGTAGACAATGGTTCCTCCCACACAGAGTCATCTGCGTGCTAATTCTACCATCAAGGAACTTAGGAAGTACATTGTATCTAGCCAATTCTGCCGAAGTAAAGAAAATAAACCAAAATTGTTCTTTCTGTGCTCTAACAGTCTGTGATTCAGGAGAAGGCCCCCTTCTTACCCTGTGAATAATTCCTGCTGAGTGAAGATGCTTGATGCCACACAACATTTGATACAGCAAGTAAGACATCCGTTCATGGTCTAGTTCCATTTGAATCACCTGACACAAGTTGGCATCCATCAGTTCCATTACTAAATAACTGGAAGGTAAATCCACAGTGTTAGTTCCAGACCTCAAGCTCTAGAATGACCTTCAATCATGGTCAGAATCCTCTACTAAACTGACATTTTCTGAACTTCCTAGTTCTGCATTTGATTAAATCAAGAATTTGAGGGGCTGGAGAGATGGCTCAGCAGTTAAGAACACTCATTGTTCTTGCAGAAGACCCAGGTTCAAATCTCAGCACCCACATGGCAGCTAACAACTATCCGTAACTCCAGTTCCAGGGGATCCGACAGCCTCTTCTGACCTCTGCCGGCACAGCATGACACGGGTGCACTTACCTACATGCAGGCATAACACTCATATACATAAAATAAAAATAATAAATAAAATATTTTTAAAAAGAATATGAAAAGGTTTCACGTGTTCCATGTGTTAACTGTAGCAACTCTACCACGGAATTGCCAACAGAAGCATCTCTTGGGTGTGGTTCAGGCCCATGTATTTCTACCTTCATCTTGACCTCACTTTTCCCTGTATTTCCTCAATTCTCTTCCAAGGATTATGATTATAAATAAGAAAAAAAGATCAGGACAGCCACTTCCACAAAATACAATGCAGATGGGTCAGAGCTCACCGTGCCCTTGAATCACCTCTTCCTCTCTGCATTTTCTCACTGTACTTCTGAATAGATTCATTTTATACAAAATCAAAGGCATCACAAAGACAGAGAAAAAGAATAAGGATATTTTTATCATATCCTTTATATTAATATTTCTCAAGATGAATTGGCATCCCAGAAATCTCACAGAATTAATAAACAATCAGTGATTCTTCCTTAACCAAGAGCTTGGACCAACAAAGCACACAGGGCCTGAAGGAGGCAGGAACATCCCCTTCAAAAGTAACACCACAGAGGACTCTCCACTACATGTCCCTGGGACTTCCATTGGTTCTGGTCAGTCTCCCATTGATCTTTGCAAAGGAGTTCATCCCTTACATTTCTGTTACTAGATTTTCTTTTTGTCACTTCCCCTGGAGTTATCTGAGTGAGGGCTGTGTCTCTCTTGCCTTCATGAATTCAGTTGTTTTGTTACTTACACATCTTGGAATTCCTCCAGCGTTTTCTGGGGTGTGAAAACATTTAATAAACTAATAATCTGAAAGAGAGAGCATGGAAGAGACAAAGGAAAGAAAGAAAAACGTGGGTGAATTATTTTTAAAGTAGAGGTGTAGTTATTCCGACTGTAAGACAATCAGTAAGGTTATGCTTGAAATAGAAAAGGTTGGAAAAATTTCTAGACTGCTTCATAGAACAGAAATGTGTAATCAGAAGAGACACACAATTGGTCTGCAGGTTAATAATGAAATTAAAAAGCTCAAGTTCTTGAATGAAGTCAGAGAAGACCTGGTGTGATGCTCCTTTGTGTGAGCCTCTGTGGCAGGACACAAAGCCACAAAGCAGTTAAATTGAAAGGAAACAAAGTCACTTTAGAGGAGAGAAGACAAGGAAACCCTCAGCGGGCTTTATCAGGTGATACTCTTCCTCCAGATGCAAAAAGTAGCATTCTAATTCAAGACTTCTTGTTGGTATTGCTACTATGGTTTCTTTTACTTGTATATCATGATCAAATATTACTTAAACCAGTGTTCCAGTTCTATGTGGGAAAAGGTTCATGATGGGTAATACCAATGATGAATTCAGTGAAAAGCATATTTAAAAGCTAGCTAAGGTGGGCATGCTGACATATGCCTTAATCCCAGCACTCAGGAGGCAGAGGCAGGTGGATCTCTGTGAGACTGAGGCCAGCCTGGTTTACATAATGAGTTCCAGGCCTGCTGGATCTGCAGGACTCCCTGTCTCAAAAAAATAAATAAAAGGCCAGCTAAATTCATTTTTAATCTTTCTGTTTCCCACTTTAATTATTGTGTGCATGAGGTAATAGAGTTTACCTTCTGAAATAAGTAAACTTTAAAAAACTCATTTAGGACAGTTCCATATAAATTATATATACAAATAATTCCATATGGGCTTCCATTTAGATACTGTATATTAATGTGTCAATGGAAAATGAAAATATAAACATATGGGTAAGATTCTACTTAAAATGTGATATGAATAAGAATCCGTTTTACAGAAAGTTCAAGATTTAAATAACTTCAGTGCACAAACAAATTCAATGAATTTTCATAAACTTCATAAGTGGTACTTGAACATATGAAGTAATTAAAAAGAAAACAATTTTAAACAACTAAGAGATGCTGTCATTTCTGAGGAGTTTCATCACTGTTATTTGTAAAAATTATTAAGAAAAAAATTACAATACCATTCAATATTTTCTAATACACCTTCACATGGCAATGGTTATAACATATTTAAAATTATGTAAATTAATGAAAACATTATAGTGTGAAATATGGAAATAGAACAGACGTTGTTTCAAAATATCTTTAAACTTTTTAAAAAATATCTTTTAACTTTTAAATATGATTCTGCATACTCACTCATTTGCAGTTCAAATTGAACAATGTTTCTGCAGCATATTTTTCTTATGATTGTCTATAATGTGACTCTCTAGTATTTTATAATGATCATAAAGTAACTTATTTCATTTCAGAGTAGTTTTAGGCAAAACAAACTGTACATAGGCTGTACAAGTGCACACATGCACATACCACTTAAAGATGGAAAAATGCCAACTCCCACAATCTTGTGGCAATTTAAATTAGCATATAAAATAACATTGGAAATTCAAATGAATCAGTGCTTTTTTCAAAGCTAATTTCTCATGATTTGTTCTTCTCAGTGTGTTCCTGGCCCCTAGTTTTCTAACCTGTACCTTCCATGAGTTCTCTTTTGTAATTCACCTCTGTTCTTACCTTATAAATTTTAATCTTTCTAACAATTTATTTAAAAACTCATATTTGTTGCCATTGCAAAGCTGGAGACTGAACCCACCAGGCAAGTACTCTACCAAAAGTTCATCTTTAGGATGAGATCATCACAGGTAATCCATTTTACTGTAACATTTTCCAGCAGGAATCTGACTCAGTCAGATGTGATTCAGGATTTGTCATAACCCTATAGACACACCAATCATCACTTCCTAGAATTGGGTATTTATTCTGTAAATGGATTTTTGTAGCTATTATTAAAGATTAAAATTGGATTACTTCAATATTTTTCCTTATTTCTCACAGATATGACTGAGTTCCCTCTTCAAACTGTCTTTTTTCCTTGCTTTATTGAGTGATAATACAGAATTGACAGTTAGTTGTAGGTGAACTTCCTCTCTGTTAAATAAATTTACTTCTGTTATCTTATATGCATACAATACATGCGTGTATGCATCCTGTAAAAAGAAGGCAGCATGGTTGATACTGTGTATAAATTATCACAGCAATTTAGAACATTCTTTTCTTTATAGAACCAATACTGTTTATTTCCTTCATTTCAGTCAACAACAGAGGATGCATTAAATTGTTTGCTGTTACTATGGCAAAATACTGAAGATGAGATAACTTTATAAAAGAAATATTTAGGCCACTGTAGAGCCAGTTCAAGGACATGGTGCCAGCATCAGCTTGGATCTGGGGATGACTTATGAAGGGAAAGAAGATTGCGTCTCAAAACAGGAAACCGGATAGTATTTGGGGGGTTGGGCACATTCTAACACATCATTCTTGTGAAAACTCAGGGATCATATGAGATCCACCTTAATCTCTTCTAAAAAGCAAATCTACCAGTAATCTAAGGAACTCTGCTAGACCCCTCTTCTAAAAGGATTCACGTCCCACATTACATCAGAGGACAAACCTCCCAATACACTGACCTTTCGGAAACACTCAAAACACATTCAAACCATACCCGGGTGTATGAGTTTCTCAAACTGGCCAAGCAGTTGGGCTTTTCACCATAATACGTTGTTTTACAGGGTCTGGAAAGATTAGGTAGATAGGGTACATGTGCAGGACACACCACACTTGTTTCAGTGCTTTTATCTATCCATACATTTTTCTTCACCCAGGGTTTGCTTCATCCTCTTTACTACATCAGAATCCATTGCCCTGGTCATGTGGCCAATCTTTCTTGCCTTTGTGCAACACAATGAAAGAACACACTGCTCAGTGTGTTTCTCTCACTTCTGGATTCCTTTTTTGGGGTCTCATGTTCTTTACATGGCTGTATCCATGTTAAGTGATGTGCCATACTTCATGATTGCTCTTTCTTCAAGCAGCCCTTTCTGATCAGTCTATTAAAGGTAAGCCTATCTCACCCCATACCGACCAATTTAAAAATGTTTCCTTCTTTGCTTTATATTACTCAGTGGCTTCTATCACTCTCTGACATCTCACGCATTTATTTGTCTCTCTGGTGGATTGCTTTTCTCTCCCCAGGAAAGTCCAAGCTCCAACCGGAAGGTCTTAGTTTGGTTCTCTTTTTCCCTAATCCTCTCATCAGCCACAGCACCTAGATCTGTTCCCAACACATTCCAAGAACATAAGTCAGATGACTGAATTAAGGGGCTGGGGAGATGGCTCAGCAGAACACTGACTGCTCTTGCAGAAGACCCAGTTCAGGTCCTATCACCCACACTGTGGCTAACAGCAGTCCAGTAATCCCAGTTCCAGGGGATCCGATGCCCTCTTCTGGCCTCCATAGACATTGCATGACAGGCATTCACTTACATACACGCAGGCAGAACAGGCATACACATAAAACTAGACTATATAAATTAATTTTTTTAAATAACTGAATTAAAATTTCATTGGTTCCAAACAATTCAACAACACGAAAATCCTGATTTAAAGGTCGCTGGAAAGGTTGTAGCTCAGAGCTGCATAACTGAGTGAGAGAGGTCCAGCATCCCCCCCACACACACACATGGGGGGGGGTGTTGGAGTACAATAATAGAGGAACAGAGACACTGTCAGTGAGCTTGAACCTACATATTTGCACTTTCTCCTAAGTGCTCCTGGCAAATGGTCAGCAATATGATAAGTTCTCATTTATAAAATGTAATAGTAATTTCATGTATTCTATGTATTTTTATACTTAAAACTTCATACAGATATATGATAGCTATTAATTTTTAGTTTATAGTACAGTATCTTTTGTTTTGCTATATATTTGTGTCTAACAAAATATGCTTAATAAAATGGTTATAATTGTTAGCAATGGTTATCCTAAAGTTACTGAGTTTTATCTAACTTCTCCTTACTAAGAAGAAATAGAGCACAGGAAGAACTCTTTGGTCTTTGCCTAGGATTCAAGAAGATTTGGCTCTGAAGCAATGGTCGACTCCACTCAACTGTACTGAGCAAATGCTCTGACTGGTTCCATTCTGAAGTGCTTCCCCATCCGAAAGCAAGATTCATATAGTATGCACCCTGATCACCTGGAGGCACTGGCCACCATAACTAAAACTCAAAGGAAACAGTATGATGAAAACTCTCACTCGTTTATTATAAAATTAAAGTATAAAGAAATCTCTTGTTCTATCAGGTTCTCATGGGCATTTCTGTTTGTTGGGGGTTTCAAGTCAATTGGGAAGCATGGAGATCTCAGATTGATTTGGAGTAAGATAACCAAATAATGTTAATTTCATAATAGGGGCAGCTCTATCACATTCATCTCTGCCATGCCATATGGCTTCTGGATGATTTTTATGCAGGAAGCTATCATGAGGACAATGAAACCAAATGCAGCATATGGGCAAGATAAACAATCTTAGGAGGCAGCAATCACAAATAGAGAAAGCCTTTCCTACTGCAGTTGGCACTTATGTTCTTCCTCTAGTCTCACAACCTCCCACTGCCAGAGGGTTAAAAATAACACCGACTCACGTTTTTATGGTTCACACACTTCATGAGGACCAGCTCCCGGTAAGCTCTCTTGGCATGAGTTTGGTTCTGAAAGGGTCTGCTGAGCTTCTTAATGGCCACATTTCTGTCAAGGACAGCATCATATGCAGCACTGTGGAGATTCAAGAGCAATCCAAAATTCAGAATGAAGCATGAATAAAGAAAATAGTATTCTGGAATCTTCATTATGTATGTTTCCAATCACATGCCAATAAAGTCATAAGCAAAGAGATGAATGACTGGAAAGAGGGAAGAGGAGCAGGTGGAGGGATAAAGGAGGGGGATGGGGAGGAGGAAGGAGAAAGAGTAGGGAGAGATGGGAAAGCCAAGAGCTCAAATTCCCCCTGGTCATGTGACAACGGGAAATCCTTTCATCTACATGAGTTTGAATTTCATACCTATTAATATAATACATAGGTAGTCTCCATCTATAAAAGTCCATAGGCTCTTTGGGTATCCTAGATGACATGGCATTTTTTTCTGTAGTCAAAAGATGCAGTTATTAAGGTCTGATGTTAATGCCATGAAAGCACAAGATGATAGCTCATCAAAGTGTATTTTTAACAGTAACACTACTCAAAATAAGATATGCCAACAAAGGAAATTCAGTACCACAGAAAACTGCCCTGAAATACCAAGAAAGAAAGAAATGATGTCAGCACTTGAAGCTTTCAGGCCAGCTAACCTTGATAACTTATCAGGCTTAAACAAAGAAATCCAAAAACATACTCAAAGTGTGGTTCTGGAGCTCAAATCAGAAAATGAGTGTTCTTTCTTCAACATCTCATGATACACGTCTAATATGTTTTTATTGCCTTCTGTCAATTTTGGGTTTTGTAGGGCTTTGTTTTAGTGGCCAATAGAAATGAGAAAACAAAGATCCCCAAAACTGATTTATTAAATTGGAAATGGCATTGAATCAAAATCAAAAAGCTAAAGTTTCAATAATAATGTGAGATATAATGTATAGTAATGAGAGACGTCTAGGAAAAGTTGGATAAAGTCTTAAATTCATAGAATCTCTTCCTGCATCTAATATTCATTTTTCTCTAAAATATCTCCACCAAAAGTTTGATCAATCCCTGCCTCTGTTTCTTCAAGACCAGAGCTCATTAATAGTAGGGCAGCTCATTCTGTTGTTGGCTTTGGGACTAGAAATGCCATCATCTAATCAGCAGAATTGTCTCTCTGTAGTTTCCACTGACTCCTGTTAACCCTACCTTCCAGGGAAATTCAAGAATTTCCCATCATTATGATCATCCATTACATTTGAAATCTATCAAAGGACCAAGTGCTTAACTCAACATCTTGGCTTTTATTACTTCCCCCAAGTCTGTTCTTTCTTCATCTAAGCATCACCAGTGTCCTAACACCATTTGTCAGTATGTAGTTTCAAGTCCCATCTCCATCTGGGCATATTTCTCTGAATATCCTCCAGCCTGTCAATATTCTCTGAATGCGTGATGCTGCACTAAATAAAGCATTGTTGCTCTGGAATGTTACTGAAAACTGTGGTGAGGCAATCAGCCCCTTCATACATTCATTTTGCACGCATTTTGGTCTGAATATGACCAAAATACAGTGTATGAAACAGTAAAAAAACAATGAAACATTACAAAAATTATTTATTGCAGAGAGAAAAGTTGATGTTGAAGGAGAAGGGAAACTTTAAGACATCCATATTTCCTTTCTTTGTCCAAGTAATTTGATAGTGAAACACTGACTCTCAAAACAGCCTTGCAATAAGAATGAACTGTGTCTAAAATTAACCTAAAGCCATTAAGGGGCTCCCTTGGCTCACAGGTTGCTGCTGTTTTTCACTACCTGTAAAATTGATGAGATGCATTAAGTGAGCCACAGGATTCTCAATGGTTTCTGCACATAGGACACACAACTATGAAGAGAATAGGCCATGCTCAGCCCCGGGGGCTGCTTCTCTGCTCAGGCCTCAACACAGCAATTGACTTTACGACTTTCCCCCACTAATGGGGCAGTGCTGACCATGAATGACTCCAACCTGCCTTGCCTTATGCCCTGGGCAATTTCCCTGTTACTGCCTGGTCTCTCTGTCTCTGAATTAATCTTTCGGGCTGATATTTATATAACTACTGCTCATTTTTGCAAAGTCTGTTTCATTTAAGATCGGTTATTTATCTCTTTATTCATTCAACAAAAATATATTTATATTCCACTATGTTCTCTCTTGCTTCATCTGACTAAATATTTGAAATTTTGAAATTTTATTATTTTTGTTGTGTGTGCATGTGCATTGTGGGGGTGGGGCACATACCATGGTGTGCATGTGGAAGTCAGAATTGGATCTCTCTTTCCACCCTGAGTTCTAGGGATCAAACTCAGGTCATCAGGCTTATGTGGCAAGAGCATTTAGTTGCTAAGTCATTTGGCCTGCTGGCCCATGACTGAATATTTTCATTTGAATAAAATAAAAGACTTCATGGAAAATTGAATTTACAAACTAATAAATCATGTCACGGATAACAGAAGCAGGAAAAACTTGCTATTATTTATTATAGCAAATATAAACATACAAGTTAATTTTATACTTAAGGAACTATACCATATTGGGGAATATAAGATAGAGGAATAAAATATAAATCTAAAGTAATAGATCTAAAGGAGAGGAGGATCTGGAGAGCTGCTTCTGGTTCCGTGGTTAAGAATTCACACCACTCTTGTAGAGGACCTAGGTTCAGTTTCCAGCATCCACATTGGGTGGCTCACAACCACCCATAATTCGAACTCCAGAGAATCCATGCCTCTGCCCTAAACACGCAACTTAGCTCAAGTATAATTATACACACACACACACACACACACACACACACACACACACACAGATACACTTATACACATAATATAATTAAAAATAATAAAAATAAATGTTTTTAGAAAGATAGGAGAGCTGGGCGTGGTGGTGCACACCTTTAATCCCAGCACTCTGGAGACAGAGGCAGGTGGATGTCTGTGAGTTCAAGGCCAGCCTGGTCTACATAGTGAGTTCCAGGACAGCTGGGGCTGCAGGGAGACCCTGTCTCAAAAAGACCAAAAAAAAAGAGCGGAGAAAAATACTAGATGCTAATGGAAATATCTAATTTTAAGGAAATATGGAAGATAGTAAAAAGATATTTTAGTTGCTGGAGAAATGAACTTGAGGTATGAAATGAAGTGAAAGATAGAAGTCCAGACTAGCTTATGAAGGCTAGAATGCTATGTGCTGGCATCAACAAGTAAGGGAGATTAACCAGGGCTCAAAGGACAGCACATAAGTAGATGCTTTGGTGAGGAGCTTTGAGGATGTTCATTTCTTCTAGACTTTAATTTTAGAGTAAAAGAGACAGCAAAGTGTGAAGGAGTGCTGGTGCTCTGAGAGAAGGGGCGAACACAAACCTGCCATGCAGGACAGCAGGAATGTGAATGAAGCAGAGATCTTGAGCAGTGATAAGGCACACTGATTGGTCTTGGATTTAGGAGATGTTATTGGACACAAATCTCTTTCTCCAGTGTTCTTCAGCTATCTTACTGGATTTATTATTCAAGGAGTTCAGATTGCCTATGCTGCCTACAGCTCCTGACCTCAGGCCTGGGCCTCTCAGGTGGCTGGGGTACTGGTGTCGCTGTGCCTGGCTTGAGGAACTGATTTTAATCAGCATTTGAGCTTTGCTGGGAAGGAAGATGGAGAGACAGTGAAAGACCATATATCTGGGGTAAACCATAGTATAAATGATACCTGCGCTTTTCAGGAACAAAGAAATCACTGCAGATTGCATGCTATAGGTCATGGTGAGGTTGAAGGATTCTTGAAAGTGAGGTAATAATCACAAACTTGATGCACCACTCTCTTTTAGAAACAAATAATTAAAGATTGAAAAAGATAGCTGAACTTCATTTTAATAGTTTTTAAAACTCCGTCTATACAACTGGGTGGCTATTTGGGCTTGTTTTGCTTCTATTATCTAGCTAACAGGCATGCAGAAGGAGTCAGGGAGAAGGGTGGAAAAATAATATACAGGAAGAATTATCACTGCAGGATGTGAGATTGAATGGGAGGCTTTAATAGAACCCAAACTGCACCCAAAGGCCAATGTATCAATTTTGAAAAGCACGGTTAGGAAAAGTCCTACTTAACTAGGGATTTATTTTAGCATCTGTAGTAGTTGCTATATTTTTTCAAACAAGAACTATAATTTTCCTTCAGTTTCTATCATAAACTAGAGCTTTATTGAACTTTCAAGGTAGGGGGAGAGAAGAGGCCCCATGAGTTTATGATCAAATTACTGGCAGCACATTGTACCAGAAATGCAATTAGGAAAAGATTCTTGCATAAATCCAGTTTATAGGTCAGTAAGTAATGTGAAATTCTAATGTTAGAGGCTCTGTGTTCTACTTGACACTAAATATTTTGAAGTCATGTTATTTATGAGACAACACAAATAGTATTTACATGGATGTTGACAAGAACTATCAAAATACAACATTTAAAGTAGGAAGTAGAACTTCAAAATATCAACTCGGGAAACATAGCCAATAATACTTGACTAAAGCAGTGTATTAAATTCAAATGTGTTAGATCAGAAAAAGATTACCACAAGTGAACTCAAAGGAGCCTGAAATCTAACTGCAAATTCACCTGATCATTACTCTGCCTATACACAAGAGAGGAGGCACTATCCTCATACACAAGTGTTATACAAATTATCAGCCAGTGGGATACACTGAAGTATGAGATCAGAAAGGGGTCTTCAAATAGACCCAAAAGAATATCAACCTGAAATCTAATTCCGAAGCCATTTGAGAATTTTTCCTGAGTTTTATAAAAACTATTAGATCCATGTGCTATAATCAGTAATGAAGAATGTATTCTGCACTATAAATAAAAAAGATGTTTTGACTGGCTGTATTAGTTACTTTTTTGTTGCTGTGATAAAACACCATGACCAAGGCAACTTATAGAAGGAAGAGTTTATTTAGCTTACACTTCCAGAGGGTAAGAGTCCATCATGGTGGGCAGCATGGCAGCAGAGGTTGCCAGAGCAGAAAGCTCACATCTTCAAGAGCAGGCACGGAAGCAAAGTGAGACAGACTGGAAGTGGA